TGTGTGCGCAGAAGTGACGTGTGTGTGTGTGTGTGTGTGTGTGTGTGTGTGTGTGTGTGTGTGTGAGCTGTCTGACCCCCTGGATGCGCCAGAGTCAGTCGGCAGCTGGGGAGGCTCAGTTCTGCTCCAGATCCTGGACAGGCCTTTAGCCAGCCTGAGCCTCTGTGACTTCATCCATAGCCCCCGAGAGAAGCCAGGCCCACCGCACCATATTATTAAACCATATTTTAACTGTTTATGCGTATTCCTTATGCAATTATTGTCTACCTTATAAATGAATGCTTTTCTTGGTTTGTTTTCAATATTTAAATAATTTGGGCTGGCCAGGTAGCTCAGCAGATTAAAGTGCCTGCTTAGGCAGACACAGGGACTAGGGTTCCATCCCCAGCCTGCTGTGCCAGCCCCGCCCCCAGGGCATGCTGAGATGGCAAATGAGACTGGGCATGGTGGCACATGCCTATGAGCGCTTGAGGGGCTGAAAACAGGAGAATCACTACGAGTCTGATCTGTATGGTGAGACCCTGTAGACCCTGTACTAAACACAGAAAAAAAAAAAAAATAAAATTCAAAGTATTTAAATAACTTGTGTAAATCATTAGAGCCTAACAGAATAATGCATAAGATAAACTTCTCCTGTTTCCTGTGTGCCGTGTGGTGGCTTGGGGTCTCACAGTGTCAGGACCAGAACCGTCCCCGGACCCTGCAGTGCCTGCCACAGTTGGTCCCTGTCCCCCCAGCCTGTGCTGAGCACTGGTGTTGCCATTGCAGTCCTCACTGAGCAGTTGGTCTGACAATAGAGCCTCGTGGTTGTACAGTGCTCTAGCCAAAAAGCAGAAGGAAAATGAGAATAAGAAGTCAGCGTTATGAGGCTAGGCATGGTGGTGTGTACCTGTGACCCCAGCACTCAGCTGAGACAGGAGGATCTCTGCCAGTTCACCTGGGCTACCAGGCAAGTTTCAGGCCAGCCTGAACTACATAACAGGACCTTGTCTCAAAAAGACAAAAAGAAGGGCTGGGGAGATATTGTCACAAGTGCCTGTCTAGCAAGTACAAGGTTCTGAGTTCAATTCCTGATACCAAAAAAAAAAAAGTAATCATTACAAAAAGACAAAAAGAAAAATAGAAGTCAGTGTTGCAGCTCTCGGGGATGCAGCTGGAGACCAGACACCCCACAGGGACACCCCGACCCGGAGACACATAGAGTGAACTGGGCCTGCAACACTGGGTGCTC